CCTGCAGGGGGGTTGGACTAGATGACCACTAGTGGTCCCTTCCAACCCTAAACATTCTATGATTCTATGATCTTCCAGCATAGGAATGTTTCAGCCTGGCTACAATCCCTGCTCCCGCACACCACTCCGAACGCCTAGGGTAACCTCCTGAAATTAATAGAAACAGTGTTAGGAAGTCGTAAGTTTTCTAAAACAGAAGACACCCAATCTCTGTCACCTTTATTTCTGCTTTTTGCATTCACAGATTTAAATTGCACACCAGTGAGATAGGAATGATTACTAATAAGACCGGTCTCAATTAAATGGTTCCTGTACGCACACACTTCTGACGCAAAATGCTAAAAGCACAAGAAATTCAGGTGAAGTCTGTTGAAGGGGACTTCAACAAAGTCAAGCACTTTGAGACCGTGCTTTATTAAACTACAGATGGACACTTTAAAGAAAACATGCAAAATGCTTCCAGGTGCCTTTTGGTCAAAATGTGCTGAATCATCCGACATCATTAACTGTATTTAAAAAAGTATACCCTACCACTGCCAGTAAACCAAACGTATTCAACGCAACATACACGAATCTACCGATATGGGACCAATGTATCCAACGTGGTTTGGTTCTGCAGCGGAAGTTGAGGCACACAGGCAAGCAGTTATCAGGGAGATGAGCCACAAAGAACGTTTAAGAGAAGCTTCTAAAAAAGCTTAGCATACCATAGGGAGCTTATAATGAAGGAATAGTAATTCCTTTAATAAAGAATAGTAAATAAATGTCATAGAGTTATTATTCTAACCCACGTTGTTACCAATACTGGAGAGAATGGATTGTGTCTACACTTTCTCAGCATAAGTAAATAAAGATAACTTGGATTATTGTGATCCAATATTTCTATTGACAAGAAGAGAATCCCTCCCTTTGATAATTCTACAGAAATGCCATCAACTCCTCCTCATCCCCTCCCCGTAATAAAAGTCTGGCTGGCTTTTGGGGGCATAATATACGATACAGATTATATATCGGATAGTGATAGAATAGAGAACGATCACAGGGTACTTCCAAAAACCCCCCACCTCATTAAAAGGTTCATAATTTACTTCTGTACCATCTCATATAACAGAAGCGACGCAACCAAAGATATATGAACAGCCAGTTATGCAAGGGACCAGTATCCGTTGGTTCAGTTTCCATCTAACTTTCTTGGGAACACCACATTTTCCGAAGTGAGACTCAAGACTCAACATTTTTCCCCTTGATCGGGAATGTGACTTCCACTGTACTTTACAGCAACAAAATCTTTGTTACCTCTACGTTTTCAGTGAGACCGTATTCAGAATGGGGATTTTCTGGAACCTGCAAAATAACACACGGTCAGCAAAGTGAAAATGCTCCTTTTGTGCACATAGCGTTACGCACACAAAACATTTCTCGCAATACCTGCGGCTGTCCCTCCATAATCTGTTCTGCCTCCATGATTTGAAAAGTGGAATTGGCCGGACGTAATCTTGGAAAGCAATAAAAAAAATGGGTCAGCAGGCCGAGACGAAGACCGGTGTT